ACTCGCGCCTGAGAGCTCAGTGTTTGGAGGCAGATGCGCTCTCTGTAGAGGAGTGGGGCTGGGGGCGCTTGCCGAGAGCGCCGAGACAGCTTGGGGTGAGGCTGGCCCTCTGTCCATGTCCTGCATCTGTACAGTTGCAGGTCCAGGACATCTGATGAAGACATGCAGTCTTTGGAGCTTTTCTTTTGTGTCATTGCATTTCCTAAACCATCCAGCACAGCTGTCTACGTGACGCTCATGTTGTATTAAGAGTCATTAAAAGTAATCTAGGGATTGGCACATCCACGAGACTGTAGGAGTTCTGTGCAGATACTGCAGATTTCACATGATCCGTGAGGTTGGCCATCAGCAGGTTCTGCTCTGTTGTGGGACAGTGTCCTGGGGTCAGGCCCTCTGGGGTACTGAGTGGTGACTGAATTTCCATATGCCGTGTGAGCTAGGTCCTTCTCCCTGTGTCCTCTCCCCTCTTACCGTCTTTGTCTTTTCACGGAGCTTGCTAGAACTAACTCCCCAGCCTGTCTTCTGACTTGTTACCCCTGAGGTTCTTGCTGCTGCGCTGGCCTCTGAGACACTTTCACACCCCTTTTCAGGCTGGAGATGGAGGAGTCCTCATCCCCCAGCACCAGAGCTAGGCAATTGTTCTTTCATCTGTGCGAGGTCTATTCTGATCCTCCTACTTCTGAGGCTGTTGGCGCCTCATAGCCTTTCTGTGTCCCTGAATCTCTACCATCTTTGTGGTCTGGGATGCCCAGGCCGGAAGCCGTTGCACCTTCTCTCCCTGTAAGCCCCTCCGCATCATTAATTCCCAAATCCCATTAAGCCTGGCTGATCTTTCTAATTACCGGCTGCACTCCTTCACTCTTTGGACCTTAATCCAGGATCCAGTTATTTGGGGTCTTAAGTTACTGCAACAGTGTCTGCGTTTGTCATGAAAACATTGCTCACTGGGGCTGGAGAGGCCGCCCACAGGGAAGAGCACTGTGGATCTTGCCACGGACCCAAGGTCCATTCCCAGCACCAGAAGTGTGGCATGAACATAACCAGAGGAGTAAGTCCTTTGCCTGTGAGCTTGACCCAGCTGTGGAGAAGACACTGATCGAGGCACATGGGACATGCCCTGTTGGCAGAGATGCTGTGAGGAGCAGCGAGGGCTGCAGAACGAGAAACTGGGAGGGTGAAGGCGTGTTTCGGCCCCTAGGCCTGGAGTGATTCAGGTGCCGTCATCTAGGAGTTACAAGGGAAGGAATGGAATAGTATTACAGAGACTGCTCTTGAAAGGCCGGTGGCTTAAAATATATGGAATTGCTATCTCATGGGGCCTGAGAATCAAAGTAGTGGCTGTTGTGATTTTTGTTTGTTTGTTTTGTTTTTCTTTTTTTAACAATTCATTTAATGTGTATGATTGCTCTATCTGCACGTACACCTTTGTGCCAGAAGAGGGCAGTAGATCCCATATAGATGTTGTAAGCCAATGCGTGGCACTGGGAATTGAACTGAGGACCTCTGGAAGAGCAGCAGTGCTCTTAACCTCTGAGCAGTCTCTCCAGCCCCATTTGTTTTGTTTTTTTTGAGACAGGGTTTCTCTGTGTAGCCCTGGCTGTCCTGGCACTCTGTAGACCAGGCTGACCTTGAACTCACAAAGATCCACCACAGCTGCTTGGTGGGTGTTGCAGTTTTAAAGGACATGAGTAGAGTTGCAGGTAGGAGCATTTGCTGGAAGTCTTCATAAGGAAAGGGGCTACACAGCGTCTCTAAAGTACTTCAGCAGGAGAGTGATAGGGTTGAGTCCCAGCTCGCTGAGGTCTGTGTGGAGGGTGGACCTGTGGGTTGAGAACAGTGGTGGAGGAGATCTGGACAGAACTCAGGGTGTTGCAGAGACGCTGCAGGGAGGCAGAACCTTGGATGGGTTATCAGGAGAGGGGGGAGGGGGACCAGACGGGAACCCTGGGGGAAAACTGTGTTGGATTAGACCAGGAGTGAAAGGGTGGTTGAGGATGGGGTTTTGTCCGGGTTTGCTTCTCTGTGGCTGTGATTACAAACCAAGGAGCAACACTGCCTACTCTGGCTGTCCCGCGCTCCTGTTGAACCGCTGCTCTTATGTAGTCTGGGCTCACCAGCTGAAGGATGGCACCACTGCAGCAGCGGACGACCCTACATCAACCAGCACCAAGAAGATGCCCCACAGACTACTGCAGGGCATCGACCTGCCTGATTCCTCAAGGACATTCCTGTTCCTTGATGACTAGGTTTCTGTCAGGTTGGCGGCTGAAGCAGCTGTGATGGGTGCACACCGGGCTTCTAAACCAGTGTGAGGCACAGGAACAGCAGGTGCTGGGATTAAGGATCAGTAGAGCCTGAGGTGCGGCGCGCACGGGGGGCGGGGGGGGGTGTGTCTAGGTAGAACTATCCTGGCGGTTAGCTGTGCAGCTTCAGGGTGATGGGTGGAGAATGAAGTCATGCCTGTGCTTTGGTGATGTCAACAAATACTTACAAAGGATTGGAGTAGGAGAACAACTTAGAAAAACAGGCAAAACTTTTGATGTGTCGAAGAAATACAGAGAAAATGTAGCCACATATGGTGGCACATGTCTGTAAATCCAGAGCTTGGGAAACAAAGATTTAAGACATAGTAGTTCAAGAGCAGCCTTGACAGCTACATAGTGAGTTTGAGGCCAGCCTGTATGAGATTCTATATGAAGGAGAAACAGAACGAAAAATAAACAGGGCAAACTGTCTTACCTTCACTTTACAGTATGGATGGAAATAACAAGTTGTGCCATAGCAAAACACCATTTCACAGCCAGCAAACAGACAAGTGTAGCCGGGCATGGTGATACCTGCTTGTAATCCCACCACTTTGGGCTAAGGCAGAAGGACGACCAGCCTGTGGCTTTGTGAGATGTCGGCTTTTCCAGACACACCCGGTGTCTGTTCTCTGCAGCAGCATTTAAAAGTGCTTGGTGCCCTTTTCCTTCCTGGCATCATGTCTTCCATTTTGGTTTTGTAGTGGTGAGGGTCAAAGCCAGGGCTGTGAGCTACACTCGAGCACACTGTCAAGCTTTAGGTTATTTTGTTTTTCTTGTTGTTTCATTAGTGTGTTCGCGTGTAGGTGAGGTGCAGATGTGCCCCAGCCCTTCGGGGACCAGATGACACATTCGTGTTCCAGAGACCAAACCAGGTTGTCGCATTTGTACAAGCGCCTTCTCCTCCTGAGCTGTCTCACCCCAGCCCGTTTTCTTTGTTGCTTTTGTTTTGTTTGGAGACAGGGTTTCGAGTAGTCCTGGCTGCCTTTGAACTTGACATGTAGCTAAGGATGACTTTGAACTTCTGCCTCTGGAGTACTAAGATCACTGGGTTGCCTGCTCGAGCCATTTGTGCCTGGTTTTATGTGGTGCTGGGGATCTACCAGGGCTTTGTGGGTACTGGGGAAGCAGCCTGCCAACTCAGTCAAGGCCCTAGCCCTTGTGTTCCAGTTTTTGAGGCAGGCTCTTCCTGTATGGCTTAGGCTGGGTTTTGTTTTGTTTTGTTTTGTTGTTTTGTTTCAGATTTATTATTTCTGCTGGACAGCGGTGGTGCACACTTTTAGTCCCAGCACTCAGGAGGCAGAGGCAGGAGGATCGTTGTGAGTTGGAGGACGGCCAGGACTACACCGAGGAAGCTTGTCTTGGAAAAGAACACAGAGCACACTCGAGCGAGCAGGCACACCGTGGCACTCTTGCCGTGCTTGTCAAGGCTAGCCGTGGTGCTCAGTCAGTGCTTTGCCCACTAAGCCGCCTCTCCAGTCCTGGCTGGAATTCTTCAGCTAGTTCAGGTTCACCGTGGACTCACCACAGTTCCTCCCATCTCAGGTTCAAGTAAATGCTGGCAATTGGGGCGAGAGAGATGGCTTGGTGGTAAGAGCACTGGCTGCTCTTCCAGAGGACCTGGGTTCAATTCCCAGCATCCACACGGCAGCTCGCAACTGTCAGTAACTCCAGGGGACCTGACCCCTCACACAGACATACATGTAGGCACAACAGCAATGCACATTAAAAAATAAAAGAGTGGTCACATCCCGACTTCTTCAGCTGGAAGTTTGTGGTAGGCAGCCTCATGCCTGCTGGGCAAGTGCTCTACCCCTGAGGTGCATCCACAGCCCTTGCTTTGCTTTTGAAGTGTTTGAGCCCTGGCTGAGCAGTGGCCGGGTAAGTAGAGCACCCGTCTCACAGGCCAAAGCCCTGGGGTGCTTCCCAGCAGGGTAGCAGGGTCTGAGAATGCACACCTGTGGCCCGCCTGTGCGGTGGAGGTCCAGTGCCAGGCTGGGATCTGTGAGCCCTGTCTGGGGTAGGAATCTGAGGTATGAGAGGAAAGGGCCCATTGGCTTCAACGTTGTGCTCCCCCCACGGGTGTGCACCCACGTGCTGGGTGTGAGCGTGCGCACACAGCATTTTAACATCTTTGCAGTTTTGGACTTTATTTTGCATTGTTGGGGTCAGACTCAGGGCCCTGCAAATGGCAGACCATCAGCTTTGCCGCCGAGCTGAATCTCTAAGACCTGACAATCTTTTTGAAGTGTAAAGTGGCACAGAACCAGATGGGTTCTTTGTCTCTAAATTAGGGTATTGTTTGTGTCTTTCTTTATGTTGTTTTGTGAGACAGGGTTCCTCTGTGTAGCCCTGGCTGTCCTGGACTAGCTCTGTAGACAGGCTGGCCTGGAACTCTCAGATCCCTGCCTCCCAAGTGCTGGGATTAGAGGTGTGCGCCACTGTATCAGGCTTATAAGTGCTTTAAAAATGATCTCTACTGCATTTTGGTGGCTGAGTCTGACACTGCAGCCCAAGTTAAATGCTTGAACGCTGAAGAGTCTGCTCTTTATGCCCCATCTGCTTTCCCCTGCCTGGGTAATCTCCCACTGTGTCACAGCCTCCTTTGCTGGGGTGTGGTATGTGTGTGTGCGTGTGCATGCGAATGCTGGATTGCTTTCCCCTGCCAGTGACCCCAGCGTTCCCATGTCTGTCCAGGTTCCTGTCCTCCGAATGGTGGAGGGTGACACCATCTATGATTACTGCTGGTATTCTCTGATGTCCTCCTCCCAGCCAGACACCTCCTAGTGAGTGATGTGTCTCCTGCCCGTGCTTGGGAGGGAGGGAGGGGGGAGTGTGTTCTTCCAGGGGGAGCTGAGAGGGCTGGCACGCGCTTCCTTCCTTTCCTCTGACAGCCAGTGCCAGGCCTCAGTGCTGTGTTTCTCACAGTGTGGCCAGCAGCAGCCGCGAGAACCCGATTCACATCTGGGACGCCTTCACGGGAGAACTCCGGGCTTCCTTCCGAGCATACAACCACCTGGTACTGCCTTCCCTGCCCAGCCCCTGTTGCCTAGCCCTCCCTTTGGAAGTCAGCTGAAGCTTTGCGGGCCCGTTTCCAACTCCCTCCTCGCCCCTAGGACGAGTTGACAGCGGCCCACTCACTCTGCTTCTCCCCGGATGGTTCCCAGCTCTTTTGTGGCTTCAACCGGACTGTGCGTGTGTTTTCCACGTCCAGGCCCGGCAGAGACTGCGAGGTTCGAGCCACATTTGGTGAGCCTCCCAGGGGCAGGACATGACAGTACAGAGACACCTGTGAAGGCCTTGCGTGAACTGGGGTCAGCTGTGGGGTTTCTCACCATCCTCAGGGCAGGCCTGCAGACACGTGTCAGCTGCTGGACAGACGGCAGCCTCCGGGCTTGGACGCTCTCCCAGGGTCAGCCATTGATTAGAAAGCCGGTCAAGGGCTGGAGAGATGGCTCAGCAGTTAAGAGCACTGACTGCTCTTCCAGGGCGCCTGGGTTCAGTTCCCAGCACAAGGCAGACACCTTCAATTCCCATCACAACTGTCCGTAACTCCAAGATTTGACACCCTCACATAGACATCCATGCAGGCAAAACTCTGTAACACATAAAATAAAACTAAGTGATTATTTAAAAAAGAAAGCTGGGTCAGCCACCAGGCATCACCCTGATGCCTGTCAAATATGCAGTTTGTGGTCTCAAAATGTTGCTAACCCTGGAAATTATTCTCATTTGATTCTTTTTTGCAGGGCCTGGGGTTGAACCAGGGTCTTGTGTTTAGCTCCGTCCACTGAGCTTTAGAAAACTGAAGTGAGCGGGAGTCCATTTCCTGTGGGCCTTAAGCTCTCCATCCCTTCCAGGGAAACCTGGGATGTGAGAGGGTTCTTGAGGGGTGTGAGTGATCTGGGAAGCATCAGAAGTCCTTAGTTGAGACAAACATGGGGGATGAGTCCGGTGCAGAGGCTCCTAGCTAGTAGCACCCTGTGCTAATTGCTCTCCGTTTCCTCTCCAGCCAAGAAGCAGGGCCAGAGCGGCATCATCTCCTGCATGGCCTTCAGCCCGTCCCAGCCCCTCTACGCCTGCGGCTCCTACGGCCGCACCCTAGGCCTGTACGCCTGGGACGATGGCTCGCTTCTCGCCTTGCTGGGAGGCCATCAGGGGGGAATCACCCACCTTTGCTTTCACCCTGATGGCAACCTCTTCTTCTCAGGAGCCCGAAAGGTATTGTTCAGAGGGTTGGGCATCATCTGCAGGAGTGGGGGTATCGTTTGTGGCGTGTTGAAACATACTAAGTTTGAGGGACTCAGGGAGGCTGAGGTGGAGGCAGGGGAGAGAGGGAGAGAGACTGACTTCAGACTCCCGCTGTTGTCTGCAGGATGCTGAGCTTCTGTGCTGGGATCTCAGGCAGCCGGGCCACCTCCTGTGGTCCCTGAGTCGGGAAGTGAGCACCAATCAGCGTATCTACTTTGATCTGGACCCGTAAGTGGCCGCAGCCCCACCCAAGCTCAAGGATGTCAGAGTCTGGTGCGGGGTCCTCTGTCCTTGCGTGTGAATGGCTTCTACCCAAGGCTGCTGCCTGCTGCCACAGTCTTTCTCCACTCCCAGGAGTGGGCAGTTCCTGGTGAGCGGCAACACCAGTGGCATTGTCTCCGTGTGGGACATCAGCAAGGGTTTCAGCGACAGCAAGCAGCTGGAACCTGTGATGACCTTTCTGCCCCAGAAGGACTGCACCAACGGAGTGAGGTCCTCAGTTCGCTGGAGGAACTCGGGGCTGGGGTTTGGGAGAGGTGGCGCCCTAACCTAGGTGCTGACACACCACTCTCTCTTCCAGCCTTCACCCCAGCTTGCCTCTGCTGGCCACTGCTTCCGGCCAACGCGTGTTTCCAGAGCCCACCAGTAGTGGGGATGAAGGCGAGCCGGAGCCAGACCGTCCTCTGCTTTCCCTGTGCCATGCCCACCCTGAAAGCCAGCTTCAGCTCTGGTGGTGCGGAGGGGGACCAGACCCCAATAGCCCTGATGACCAGGATGAGAAGGGGCGGGGAAGGATGGAGGGCTGTGAGCCAATATAAAGAGTTTGTCTCACACTGGAGTCACTGTGTCTGTGTGGGGTGTCACGTGACTGGTGGGAGTTCGGTGGGGCGTCGGTAGGTTCCTTTGTCCAGCATCTGTGGGGTCTGGCATATTGTTCCCAAAACCAGGGGTTGAGAGGTGGGACCAGGCGGGAGCCAATGAGGTGCTGAGCATGGTGTGAAGTCAAGTAGGTGGGGTGGGGCCTCCTGCCATTGACTGGATGGTTGCTAGGCAACTTGGTAAACTGAGGAGCAAACCTGTTTGAAATCTCACTCCTGAGGTAGCTGCACCAGGGGTCAGGGTGAGCTGGCCTGAGCAGGGGTGGCAGGAGTTCTGCAGACTGTTGAGTGTGACTGTGACAGGTCGGTGCTGAGGGCTGCACACCGCATTCTTTACCACCTTCCAGCTGCAGAGGGGAAGGGCGCAAGAGCGCTGTACCCCCTGCACCCCAGTAGACAGAGTCAAGAGCACCCGGAAAGGAGATGGACAAACACAGTAGCTTCATACCGGTCTCCCTGTAGAAGGCAGTGCCAGGGCAAGGACCTTTCTTGTTCGGCTTGGCGTTCCCCGTGCCTGCTTCTCCATCTGTCCAGTCTCCCCCTCCCTGCACACCTTGTCAAACACCCAGAAAGGGAGTCTTTGAAGAGATGCTGTCAACGGGGGCGGCCTGCCGGGGACCTTATTCAAAGGGGAAGGAGCAGTCTGTGGAGGATTGAGCAGGAAGGAGAGGAATGTCAGCCCTGCCGGGAGGTGCTGAAAGCCTCAGTTCTTACACCCAAGAAGGCAGCTCCTCCCTTCCCCCAGGATAATTGGAAACAGCCCTTCCTGTGGGTTGCAGCTTTGGGGATATAGGTACCCCCTTTCCTTTCCCGGACTCCTCTCCATGATCGCCTAAGAAGGGCTAAAGTGTACTCCCGCTCTCTTCACCTAGTCCACGGAAAACAGCAAAGGGTCAGAGAAGCCGGGACAAAAGGAGCCCAGGAAAGGGGCTTCCGCAGCCTAGGCTGGGTTTTCGGGTTTTCTTGAACTCCTCGTGTGACCTTGGGCGAGTCACGGGCCCCCTCACCCTGAGTAGCTCTGCCCACCCCCCTTCACACAGGTAGGCCCTCCGCGTAGCCGGACCTGGTGAAGCGCCCAGCCTTCAAGGTTATCAGTATCCTCCCCGGGCGGCTGGGATGCAGCCGTGGTGCCCTGGAATGGAAGGGGAGCAGGCTGCGGGAGCAAAGGGGGAAGGGTTTTCGGGGCGGAGAGGGCAAGAGCCTTTCTGGATGCTAGCGAGGAAGAGTCCAACCGCTCGGGCCCTCAGGAGGGCGGGAAGGAAAGCAAAGCCGAACCTCGGCCAGAGACGGACACTGCGAGAGACAAAGGGGGCGTGAGAGACCCGCGAGGCGGGGTGGAGGACGGGTGGTGCGCGAGGTGAGGGAGGTGTGGGGGGCGTGGGCCGCGGGATGCGGCGCCCGCTCCGCCTGAGCTCCAGCTCCGGTTTTTCCCTCCGCCATGCTCTCCCCCTCCCCGCCTCTCCTTTAACTCCCCCCTCCTGGGCTCGGGACTGGTTTCCTCCCTTAGCCCGCTGCCCTCAATCCCGGCGAGGCTGGGGCTCCGGCTCGGTGTCCCCTTCCTCGCTGCCTCGCCCGGCGCCCCATGCCGCCCCCGCCCGGCCCTCGGCCCCCCATGTCCCCCACGTAGCCGGGCGCACAAATCCCGAGGTGCTGGCGCGTGGGCCGGGGGCGCGTAGGGCGCCTGCAGACGGCCCCTGCAAGGGTTCTTGCGGGGCTGAGCGCTCTGGAGCCGGGGGGCAGGCACGGCAGAAAAGAGGGTCCTTGTGCGAGCTGGGGGTGACCGGCCACCCACCAGGGTGACTGGGGCTCCACAGCGTGGTACCACCCTCGGGGGTAGGAGACTTTGGGGGAGTTGGTGCCCCGCCCCCAGGCCTTGGTAGGGTCATGGGGGCCCCCCATTTCGGGCCAGGGGGTGTGCAAGTCGGGGCCCTGCTGCTGCTAGGTTTTGCGGGGCTGGTGTCTGGACTCAGCCTGGAGCCCGTCTACTGGAACTCGGCGAATAAGAGGTGAGCGGCCTGGGATGGGGAGACTCCAGTCCCGGGGGTGAGGGGTTTGGAAGCTTTGAGACTCTGGGGCTTGGGTTCCAAGCTGGGAGGAGGCTGGCGGAAGGTGCTGGCTGTGGCCCCGAGGTGAGGCGACAGGTTACAAGATAGAGCAATGATCTTCGGAGACAGACTGAGTCTCAGAGCTGGCTGGTTGTGGGTGGTGATGCCATGTGTCAGGAGTTGGGAGACCTTAAAGGGGCAAAGATAAAAAAAAGTTCACGGGCGGCGAGAGGGCAGTGGAGTAGCTGTTTGGATCTGAAGGAGAGCTGTGTCATGTGGGCTGAAGGGAGCCTGGTTAATGTCAGCTCTCGGGAGAGAGGTGCTGAATGGGTGCTCCTGAGGCTCGGAGGGGAAGGGCAGGGGCGCCAGGCTCCCAGGAGGCGCTGGGTGTTGGACATGAGGTGGAAGGGGGTTCAGTTTGGGGCTGTACAACGGCCCACGCAGGGTTCCTTGACCCTCAGTCTGTGCTCACAGCCAGAGACTAGTGAACCTTTGGCTGAACAACTTGTCAGCTGGAGTACGTCCTGTATTCCTGGTTTGGAGGATTCTTCTGGAGCCTCCTCAAGCCTCCCTCTTTTCCTCTTGCCCCTGGGCTCCTGAGAGGGCCATTGCCCTCTCCTGTCATCTTGGCTGCAGACTCTCCCATTGGGGACTCTGTTTCCTGGCATGCTTGCTTTGCATTGAGGAGGCCAAGGGTCAGCCACACAGGGCAGACAGAACCCATGGGAGGTCATCGGCATGATTGGCCACCATGGCATTTTCTGCTTCCATCAGCCCAAGAGTTCTGTTTCAGAAACTTCCTCCTTCCCTGAGGGAGGTTGTGAGAGGTGGTGGCAGGGAGCGAACTGAGAGTTCATCAGGTACTTGGTCTTAATCCTAGCTCCGCTGACAGCAACCCTGTGGCCTTAGGCACCCTGACCTCTCTGCATTTGTATCTTCAGTCCTCGGAGCTGTTAGCAGCACTAGAGGCCAGGTATTTGGACATATTCTATAGTCAGGAAAGGAGAGGTAGGGCTGGCTTTTTGTTTGTTTTCGGGTTTTGCTTCCTGGCCTCCCTGCCCTGTCCCGATCCCGCTACCTCCCCTCCCTCTTGCATCTCAGGGATAATCTCAGTCACTCCCACTTGTCAACAACTCCTGGCTGCAGTTTTGAGTAGCCCATGTAGCCTGAGGCTATAAATTGGGCTACCCTGATAGGGCTGAGACAAGGCACTAGGGGTTCTGAGGCTCTTTCGGATGCTGGGTGAGAGCTGGTCAGTTGGAGTCTGGAAAGATGCCAGGCCACAGTGTCCTGGGACCCAGTTTCAACTACGGAGGTACAGTTTGCAGTGGCAGGCAAGTTGTGGCTACGAGGGGCCCATGAGTCTCCTGCCTAAATGGCCAAGGAGAGGCTGCTGGGCTGTGTCAGCTGTGATGACAAAAGCTGACTACTTCAACTCCAGGGCAGGAAAGCACTTTCCTCAGAAAGTTTAAGCCCCGAGGTGGAATGCAGGAGGGAGAATGACCTGGTGGTTAGCCCTTACACTTTGGTTCTCACCAGCTCCATTTTGGTCAGTGCCAAACCAGCATTTGTTCGTCACACGCCTCCTTAACTGACTAACTTGGGAAACTGGTCCAGATCAAACCCCCCTCCCTCAACCCAACCTCTTCCTTGCCCCCTTTGCCCTGAGATTCAGTGGTGGCCTGGAGAAGGGGAGGTCCTACCCCCACGGTTGACTGCTGTGGAATAGTGAAATCACCTGGGAGGGGTAGGCTGTGTGGTTCCGGAGAGGCCAGCTCCTTGGTAACTGGCATCCTGTTGCCATGGCAACCGCACCGGTGATGGAGCGGGAGATGGCAGTGTGCATGTGGCGAGGGCGGGCTGAAGAGTGCATTTGGGCACACCAAGGGGCAGGAGACCTCTGAGCCTGGTGTCCTGCTGCTTCTGATGTGAGCGTGGTGCCCGCACTCACTGAACACAGGACTCAGACAAAGGCGGTGGGCGGGAGCTCAGAGTCGCCGTCCTAGAGGGTCGGGAGCGAGAGAGGGGCGCTTCGGGCACCACCCCCCTGGCATCTCTTTCCTGTCTACCTTGTCTTCTCTCCAGGTTCCAGGCAGAGGGTGGCTACGTGCTCTACCCTCAGATCGGGGACCGGCTAGACCTCCTTTGCCCCCGGGCCCGGCCTCCTGGCCCCCATTCCTCTCCCAGTTATGAGTTCTACAAACTGTATCTAGTAGGGGGTGCCCAGGGTCGGCGCTGCGAGGCACCCCCCGCCCCAAACCTCCTTCTCACCTGTGACCGGCCAGACCTGGACCTCCGCTTCACCATCAAGTTCCAGGAGTACAGCCCTAACCTCTGGGGCCATGAGTTCCGGTCCCACCACGATTACTACATCATTGGTACTGCCAGGCAGAGGCAGGGGCAAATAGAGTGTCTCTGGGACAGAGGGTGGGGAAGGGAGGACCCCTGGAACCCACCACTGTGCACCAGCAGGGTCCCCCCGGAGTGGGGGCGGGGGGCTAGGCCCCAGGATTGCTGACTTCTTCCCCTGTTCTTGTCCTCAGCCACATCAGATGGGACCCGGGAAGGCCTGGAGAGCTTGCAGGGAGGCGTGTGTCTAACAAGGGGCATGAAGGTGCTTCTGCGCGTGGGACAAAGTGAGTGGGGCTGGGGTACGCCCGCTTGGAGCTGAGGGGGCTTCAGATGGCCCGCGCAAGCCAGGGGCATTCCTCTCAGGACCCTCTCCCTTACATCTTCCCATCCTCAGGTCCCCGAGGAGGGGCTGTACCCCGGAAACCTGTGTCTGAGGTGCCCATGGAGAGGGACCGAGGGGCAGCTCACAGCCTGGAACCCGGGAAGGACAGCCTGCCAGGTAGGAACCGGGAGCCAGCCCCTGCCTCCTCTGCCGTCAGACCCCAGCTGCCCTGCCTTCACCCTCTCCTGCCCTCCCTCTCTCGTTTTGGGGGCGGCGATACAGGAAAGAGGAGAAGAGAGGCTGGGAGGCTGGGAGGGAGGGGAAGCCAAATGAGGAAAAGACTCAATTAGAACTAATTAGCCAAGTCAGTGCTTCAATCAGCGCTGTCAGAGCAGTGGGGAGGACTACATGGGAGCTGGAGGCCGGACACCTGGATTTGGATCTGGGCCTTGGGGGAGGGAATGCTGGGTTCCTAAGGGACCTGGGCACTGCTGGGGAAGCCCATTGGGGACCCCCAGGGCTGGGTGTATCCGATATCCAGATGGCTCCTTCAGCCCCTCCCCCTCTTTCCTCCTTCACCCCTTCCCTGCCAGGTGACCCCAACAGCAATGCAACCCGGGGTGCTGAAGGCCCCCTGCCCCCTCCCAGCATGCCCGCAGTGGCTGGGGCCGCAGGGGGGCTGGCGCTGCTCTTGCTGGGCGTGGCAGGGGCTGGGGGTGCCATGTGTTGGCGGAGACGGCGGGCCAAGCCTTCGGAGAGTCGCCACCCTGGTCCTGGCTCCTTTGGGAGGGGAGGGTCTCTGGGCCTGGGTGGTGGAGGGGGGCTGGGACCTCGGGAGGCTGAGCCTGGGGAGCTAGGGATAGCCCTGCGGGGCGGGGGGGCTGCAGACCCCCCCTTCTGCCCCCACTATGAGAAGGTGAGTGGTGACTACGGGCACCCCGTGTACATTGTGCAGGACGGGCCCCCCCAGAGCCCTCCGAACATCTACTATAAGGTATGAGGGCTCCTCCCACCTGGCTCTCCTCAATCCAGCCGTCCTCGGGTGCTCCTCCAGCTTAACTCACGGTGTGAGGGCACCTGCGCCATAACCTCAGCCCCCTCTGCCCCACCAGCCCCTTGGCTCCTCCTGGCTATTTTAGGATCCCTTAAGAACCACGCCACCTCTTCCTGCCCTCCCCGACCCTCGTTTGGCTGTGGGCATGCCTCTGTCTCTGCCTCTTAGGGAAGGGGGCACAGGCTCAGCCTCCTTTAACCACGACACAGGTGCCCTTGTTCCCTCACCCACCGAGAGCAGGGTGGGGACAGTCTGTCTTTTGGTTGGCGCCTCTTTCTGCCTCTCACTGTTTTTCTCTTCTCTCTATCTCTTATTCTCTCTCTCTCCTGTCTCTAGGTCTGTTCTCTCCCTCCTCCCTAGCCTCCTCCTCCTTGCATCTCCTTTTTACCCTCTTGGCTTCTTGTCCTTCCTGTGCCTCTCACGTGTCTCCTGGGTTGGGGCATCAAAGTGTCTCTCCACTCGGCTCTTGGCCCTTTTCAACTTTTCATACCAACTGCTCCCCTCGGTCTGCCAAAAGTTGGGGGCTCTTGGGGGGAAAGATTCTGGCCTCTACCCCCCCCCCCCACTCCGGGCATGGGCACGGGGCCTCTTTCCCTGCCCTTCTGTGAACTTACTCCAGCCATTTGGGGTGGTTACCCAGTCACAACCACTGCCGTGAGAAGAGGTGTCCAGTTGTGTCCAGTGGCTGAAAGCAAGATATGGACCAGTGGGGGCATTGTGGACTTGACCTGATGCCGAATGGCCTCAGACAGGAAGTGACTGGCTCCAGGCAAGAAGTGGCCAGGCCTGGACAGAAATGGCCTGGAAGTGGCAGAAGCAGAGCAGCAGGAACTGGAAGTGCCTTCATCCAGGACAGGAAGTCGCGCTTCTGAAACAGGAAGTGGTCTGGCTGGAATTCCAAGTGGCTTAGTCTGGGAAGGTGGTGGGGTGGGGGCAGGGCGCGGGAAGTGGATGGTTCTTTCCCTGTGGAGGAAGGGGCAGGAGGAACTTCCTGGTTCAGGAGGAAGCTGGAACTTACCACTGTGAGAGGACAGTTGTGGACTGAGTTTTCTTAGTATTCAGTGGCACTTCCCAAGGATCTCCCTTCCCTTGTGCTCTGTGCGGATCTTTAGGACAGCTAAGATGGCTGCCACCTGCTGTGGCAGGCCCATTTGTCTTGTTCTCCCCTTCCTGTACCCCAGTATAATCTCTGTTGATCAACAGGACTACCCCCAGAACCGACATGTTGTCCCCTGGTAACCAGACAGCTGTCTCGTTCATTCTTTCCTCCCTTCAAACCCAACACAGCACCTTCCTGGTGACTGAGAGGTGGCCTACTCACTGGTCTAGCTGGTGGCAGTTTTTAGCACTGGTTGCTGTTTCCATAGTGACAAGCCTATACCTCTTCCTGCTCTTTAGTGCACAGTGGGCTATTGCCTCAGTTTCCTCCCAGCTCAGTTTTATTAGGCTCAAAGCTGCCCTTAGGCACCAAGTTGGCCACCTCAATAAGCAGCCAAGATGGCTGCTCTGTCCACCGGAGGTCAAGGCATCTCTCTGGCGATGTAGTTCCCAGCTCCTTCCCGGGAACAGGAAGTTGGTGTTGCCATGGGGGAGGTGGCGGGGTATGGCCGTCACCTCAATAGTTTTACTGTAAAAGGGAAATTTGAACAACAACAAAAACAGGAAAAAAAATAAAAAACTTTAAAAGTTGACGAGGAGGCTGGAGAATGATTGGAGGTGAATCTGGGGGCCGGAATGGCTTTTGAGCCGAGGCTGGGTCACCCGGGGTCCGAGGAAGGAGAGCGCTGGCTGGAGTGGTGAGGAGGCCAGTTTGTGGAGAGGGAATCATGGGCTCAGAAGGCCGAGGAAGGCAGCACCTGTAGAGAGGACCTGCTGAAGGCCGGGTGTCGTGCGTGCGTGCGGGGGAGGGCGTGCCATGCTAAACCAAAGCATGTGGGAGAGGACACTCACTGTGAGCTGCACTGTGTGGAGGTCTGTTCCCTACTGCCCCTACCCAAGCTTCCTCTGACTGGGGGACGGTGTGACCAAAGGAAGGGCTAGAGCAGGAAGACCCCAGGGACCCAGGCACCAAGTGTGTCTACTCGTATACCCACACCCCAGGCTCCTCTTCCCAAAAGCCCAGGTGCCCATCCCCCTCGACCCAACCCCATTCTCCAGCCACAAAAGCTGCCATCAGGAACGTCACTGGAGCGAATCTGCAGGGTCACAACCTCTGCCCTGGCTGCCCTCCCCGGACTGAAGGTTCCCTCCCACTGTCTCCCATCTGCCTGGAGGTCAAGGGGTCCCCCTTCTCTCCTCACCAAGACCCCTATCCATCTCAGCAAGATGCCTGGGCCCTCTGAGGTGTAGGTACTGAAGGAGGGAGTTGAAAACTGGGAGAGCAGGTACAGGGCTGTGCGGAATTTCCTCTTGCCTTCGGAGCCCACACTGGAGCTGCCCAAAGTGGGGAGGCTCGGGGGAGTCGGAAGGGCTGGTCCTGGCCCTTAGTGGGGGTTGGTTGTCTTGGAAACATCCCCTTCTCTACACAATGGGAAGCCCCCCTCAGCCTCCCGCGTGGATGGAGCCGACAGCCCCATCGCTGGCTATCAGCCTCAGGGACTTGGCAACCGTCACTATGGCAACACAGAGCCCAGCAACAGGGCCCACTGAGAAAGGGAGGGGTCCAAGACTGGGGCAAGGCTGGGAGTGTGAGGGGACAAGGGCTCTGAGAGCACCCGTGACACATCCATCCAGAGGTACAGGTGGGGACAAGACGGGAGAGGAATGGAGATAAATGGTCTCCAGGACAAACGCATCACCAAAGCAACCAGGACATCACAACAGGCAGAGAGACAGGAAGACACCTGGGGACAGATGCACAGCTGGGAAGGGAAACACACCCCTCAGCCCCTGGGACACACCCCCTCTGAGCGCTGGCATCCACAGACCCCCTGCCAACCACCTGACATTCACAGCACCTACAGCCTTTCGCACGCGCAGTGACTTGCCCGTCTTCTAAGCTATTTGCAAATGCTGGTGGCTTCCACACAGAACCACACATGCCATCTGTGGGCTTTCTGGAAACACGTACACACACACACACACACACACACACACACACACACACGCAGTCCCGGGGTAACAACTATGACAAGAATAGGAGGGCAGGGGACACACACCATTCGTTTGTTCAGCCACTCCAGCATGGTGTCTGCTGTGTTCCGGTGCCTCTTCAGCCTTATGTGCCGAGGCAAAATCTCTGCTTCATAAAGTCTTTTTTTTGTTTGGTTATTTAATGTTTTATGCCCCTGTAGCACTACTGTCAGGGAGCCTTGAGCATGGTGACAAGTACGCTATCCTTGAGCCACATCCCCAGCCCAAGTCCACTTTTTTTGTTGTTTAAGATTTAATTTGAAAAAAAAGATTAAAAAAAAAAAAAAACAGATGTATTTAATTTGAATATTCTTACCTGCGTGTATGTTTGTGTACCCAGTCTGTGTCTCATGCCTGAGGAGGTCACGAGGGCCTCAAATACACTCTAAGCAGAGTTACAGAGTTGTTGAGCCTCCTGTAAGCGCAGGAAACCAAGCCTGGTCCTTTGCAAGAGCAGTAAGTGCTCTTCATTACCACATCTCTCTAGCCTTCCTCTCACCTTTGAGGCAGGCTCTTACTGTAGCCCAGGTTGTCCTAGAACCATGTTGTTTGTTTGATTTTAAGGCAGGGCTTTGCGGAGTGAGACGGCGCACACCCGTAAGCCCAGGACTCGGGAGGCAGAGGCAGGTGGATCTCTGTGAGTTCCAGGCCAGCCTGGTCTACAAAGCCTTACCCTGAGTTCCAGGCCAGCGAGGGCCACACAGAGAAACACACGGAGAGAGACATGAGTCAGAGTTTTATCATATACATATAGACCAGGATGGCCTCAAACTCAGAGGTCTGCCTGCCTTTGCTTCATGAGTGCTGGGGTTAAAGGTGTGCAAAGCCATTTCTGGTCCAGTGTTTAGCTTCTGAAGTCCACAATTTAAAGAATTAGTTTTTTGGCTTGGTTTTTCGAGACAGGGTTCTCTGCGTAACAGGGCTCTGGCTGTTCTGGAGCTGCTTAGTAGATCAGATGGCCTCTAACTTACAGAGATTCTCCTGCCCCCTGCCTCCCCAGGGCTGGGATTAAAGGTGTGTGCACCGCACCCGCCTCAAGTCCACATTTTGATGGGGAGCAGTAAATTACCATTCAGTTCATGAAAACAGATATTGAGGCTGATACGGGAAGACTTTGAAGCCAGCCTGGACCGGGTGGGTGGGACCCTGAGGCAAACAAACAACCTCAGAGGAACAGGGTCAGAGGGTCCCTGTGAGACAGCCCAGACCTTTTCCCCAACAGGGAAAGCGCATGAGGTGGAGGGGAAAGTGCGAAGGGAGAGAAGTCCCTAGCTTGGTAATAACAAGGACACCTTCCTTATTCTTGTTTCAGATGCTCCCTGTCTGTCCCTAGCCTCAGCCCAGGGGCAGCATCCCGAGGCTGGGCTAGTCAGGAGTGTTCACTGAGTGCACACACTGCACTCGGGAGGCAGAGGCAGGCAGATCTCTTGAGTTGGAGGTCAGCCTGGTCAACAGGGTGAGTTCCAGGACAGCCACGCCAGACCCTGTCTCAAACAAACAGAAAAGAAGAGAAGCCTAGTAGCCATGTAGCTCCACCCTTCCCCTTTGTTTCCTGTCTATATGAACTAGTTGTTCTCCTCAAGGACTCTTTACGCCTGGGAGGGCAAGGGTGGTGCTTTGAGCTTTTGGGAACCTATGACACAAAATCCTGAGCACGAAGCTGCGTGTGAGGTGTGAGGTGGCAAGAGCTTGTACTCCCAGCACTTGGGAGGTGGGGAGGGAGGAGGCTTGTGAGTTTGAGGCCAGTGTGACCTATGAAATAAACAACAGCCAGGGGCTGGAGAGGTGGCTCAGCGGTTAAGAGCACTGGCTATTCTTCCAGAGATCCTGAGTTCAATGCCCAGCACCCACATGGTGGCTCACGACCATCTATAATGGGATCTGGTGCCCTCTGCTGGCACGCACGTGTACATGCAGCTAAAGCTCTCATATACATACATAAATAAATATATTTTAAAAAAGAAATAAACAATGAAAAGAGCCATGTCCAGGGCCGGCAAGCAGAGCTGAACTAACAGAAGCAAGCAAGCTAGGGACCTTGGTGCGAAAGCAGCTTCCCAACAGATCAAGGCTATCCTGGGTGCTGAGCTTCGCAGGCACTGGCTTTGCCAGCCTCTGCAGTTGAAGGCTACAACTTCCACCCAGTTTGGAGTGTGGTTTGTGTTGGGGAGTGTTAGCAAAAGGGAAATGAGGCTGAGGATTCCAAGTAGGAATTTCTTTTCTTTAAATTCCAGCTCACTGGGCATGGTGGCAACGCACCTTTAATCCCAGCACTTGGGAGGCAGAGGCATGCAGAATTTTGTGAGTTCGAGGCCAGCCTGGTCTACAGAGTGAGTCCAGGACAGCCAGGTTAACACAGAGAAACCCTGTCTGGAAAAACAAAACAAACAACAAAAAACTGTTCATGTGTATAGGGCGAGGAGCATGCATGCCATGGCACGTGTGTGGAGGGCAGAGGCCAAGTTTGCAGGGCTCCATTCCTTCCTTCTGCCATGTGGGTGGCCAGGATGGAGCCCTGGTCCTCACACTTTGTAGCATGAGCCTTTGCTTACTGAGCCACCTCAGAGACAGCAATAGAAATATCTGGTGAAGAATGTTTGATGTTATAAACTTGAGATTTAAGTTAGAATGGGGGGGAGGGTGTGTGCCTAAATTGAAAGTGGGCACTCACAGCTATGTCCCCCCTTTCCCAGGGAGAGGTTCAAGGTCTGCGGACAGGCTTGGAGAGGGGCTACAGGGTGTTTTGGAGGCAGGGTGCCGGTTTGCCTGTTCTTGGAGTGGTAGGCAGGACTAGAAACAGAGCACAGAATTGCCGCTGTGCATCAAGGGTCCTGTGTGGCCAGGGCAGGGGAGGCCTGCAAGGAGTTCAAGGCCACCCGGTTCCAGGCAGCCATGGTTCTCACGAGGGAATTGAAGCAGCCGATGATTTCCTACCTCTCCCCATGGCCATCGCCATCGGCTCCCCCAGTGGCACTGGCTGGTGGGGTGGGGCCCCCACGAACAGCCTCAGGGGGCAGCAGCTGGTGAGTGGCGAGGAATCTGTGTGCTCAGCAAACAGCAGCCTTGGAGCTCCAACGGCTGCCTCCTTCCTCATCAATCAGACTCAGCCAAATGTCCCTGCATTCCCACTGCCCCAAGGGGACTGGGGCTGGGCCAGGGTCCCCAGGGGAGCGAGAAGGGGATGGGGATGGGGAGCTGGGGTGGGGCTTAGGCTTCCATCCATTGGCCTGTGTCCTCTTCTCTTTGGAAGCCCTCAGTCGTTCATGTCACGGGGTGACCCTGCCCTGGCCCCTGCCACTGTGGAGGCATCAGCTACAAATCACCTGTGGGGGGTTGCTGGTGGAAAAAAGGGGAAGAGGGGAGAGTCGGGGCTGGAGCAGCATCCACTCTGGTTCTCACGGGACTGGTCCAGGGCATGAGCAGCAGGGAGGTTGCTGGCACAGAGGCCTGTCTCCCAGACTGGCCCCTCTCTCGATGGACACTCTGGTCAGCCAGTGACCCTGACCCCTTGAATCTGTCTTCCCATCTTCTCCTCATACCCAAGGCCCTCTCCCTGCTTCTTACCAAGATCTAGAGGTATGGCACCTCACCTCACCCAAAATTTGCCATTACCCACTGGGGACTGTGGCTTCTAGTTCTTAGCCTCCGGGCCCCCTCTCCCTCTCAGCCCTTACTCCCCTCAGGGACCCAGGCGTCCTGCCCACTCCCTTCACCATAGCAACCATTCTTCTTGGAGTTGCTTAAGACTTTAATATCATTTCATTAAGTCAGTAAGTTCAGAGAAGGTTGGGAGCACAAAGAGACTACGAGCGGGCCAAAAAGAACCAAGGTAGGGGGGAAGAAGGAAAGAGCCCCTCTTCTCCGTGGAGATGGCTCTGAGAAATCAAATATTGACAGTGAGAGAACAGACCTTATTAAATCTGGGACAGGGGTGTGTGTGGGTGGCTGTGGGAATGGCCGGATGCCTGGGTTCTGAGGGTGTTGAAGGTTCTGGAGGAGAGAAAAGCCTGTAGCTGGAAGGAGACACCCAAGCTAAGGGACTCCAGGGTCCAAGTGGTCAGCCTCTTTCCTTTGGGATTTGCTTGGGCTGGCCACTCTGGCTGGTTCTCAGCTGTCCCCCAGAGCCCCTAGGGATAAGCACCCCATCACAGCTGTGGCTGCCCCCCTTCATCCTTTCCCTCTACCTCCACCTCTGTTGATGAGCTTCAGCAGCGTTTAATCGGATTGAGCAGTAATTAGCAAAGCAAGATGTTTGATTACCTATTTAGCATAATGTGGGGGCTGGGATCCCTGGGCACAGCCACAGTCGAGAGGGTAGTCAGGAGAGAAAAGGGTCTATACCAAGTTCCTTTCCCAGAGGGATCTCTGAACCTACCCTTGAGGCTCCGCACCCCAAGCCTCCCCACAAATGTTCAGTCCTTCGGGACGTGTGCCTTGGGGTCCTGACCAGCCCTCTCCGCCATCTGGCTGGAAGATTACCCTTGTGTTCCATCTCAGCCCCGTGAGCTGTGCAGCTGGTTTGAGGGTGTGGCAGGGCCTCTTCCCTTCAGTCCCTGCGCTCAGCAACAGGAGTCTGATTCCGGCCAGCCAAAGACCACACAAATCAGCTCCCAGAAACCCATCCTCAGGATAATGGTGTCGGCCAGGTGTGGTAGCCACCCTGTAATTCCAGCACCAGGAGGCAGAGGTAGGACTCAAGAGTTCGAGAGTCTGAGGGAAGCTGGAGCTACAGGGCGAACGGTGAAGGAAGGGGTGGTGGCTGGAAGTGTTGCCTGTGAAGAGGACTTGTCAGTTATGGAAGGATGGTGGCTCGAGTCAGGGTGCAGAAAGCAGATAAATACGCTGGCCCCCAGGAGTACCAAGGACTGCTACTTCCGGCAGCACCAGACTGGCAAAATGAGACCTGTCAGGTGTGAAAATGGGGGAGCTGAGGTGCCAACTTCTTTTCACATCCAGCAAAGAAAATGTCATCAATTTAGCTCCTCATGGAAATGTAATCAGTGGGCTTGCTGCTGGCTTTGTCTTAATTAGGCACTATTGATGGAAGCGGGGAGGGCGCCTCCCTAGTCCCGTGATTCTGCTTCCTCATGGCATTTCCCACGTCTCCCCGAAGCGTCTCGCGACTCCCGGGGGACAGCTGTCTTTCCCGCCTTCCAGCCACCAGGCCGCGCAGCGCCCCCTAGCATCCGTTCGGGTCTGCCCCTCCAGGGCTCTGCGAGCTGCAGCCTTTGTTCCTGTGGAGAGCAAAGCTCCTCCCAGGCCGGGTCACCTTCCCCGGGGAGTTCCCGCCTCTCGTTCGCCCCCCAGACCAGCACTGCTTTTCAAGGCCAGTCCTCAGATTCAGAAGAAAACGACAACAACAATAATAAAAATCCAGTTCCAGCCTGCCCTCGTTCCCCCTCCCCGTGCCTCGCCGCCATCCTACGCCCCGATCCGGGCTCGGAAGCGGGAGCGGCGGGAGGGCAGGGGTGCTCCAGCCCCGGCTTTTCCCCTGGCCGCAGCCGCAGCGTGGCTGCTTGGAAATCCTGGAGAGCTTTCTAGAAGGCGGGCGAGCCTCGCGGCGGGGCCCCGGGCGCCCCCTGCCGGAGCCGCGCGGGCCGCGGCCGCACACCTGGCCGGCCGTGGCCGCCTCCACGCCCCGCGGGGCCGCGCCTCCGCGCTTCCAGCCCGCGCCCTTCCGGCCTAGTCCTGCGGCCCGCGCGGGGCCGGGCCCGCACCCCGGCCCCGGGACTCGGTGGTGTCCAAACCCGGGCCCCCTTGCCCTCTGGTCTCAGGTCCACGCGGGAAAGGCGCCCGGGGTGGGGCCGCGGAGCAGCGCGCCTGCGCGGTGTCCGCAGACCCGCCGCTGCGCGCCGGGCCCCGGGTTGCCATGGCGACGCGTGCCCACGGAGGGAGCCTGGGAGGGCCACGCGGGGCAGCTTCTTGGTTGGCGTGACCCAACCGTCGGTCTAGGGAGGAGAGGGTCGGCGCCGTGAGGTGTGTGGGGTAGAGGGAGGGAGCGAGCGCTGGGGAGAAGGCGCTGGGGAGCAGCGGCCTCTGGAGGCAGGGGGTGGCTGGAGGGGCGAGGGCGCGAGGAGCAGCGTGGCCAGAGGCGAGAGGAAGAGGGGTGCAGTGAGGGGGCCGCCGCCGTGGGGACCGGCCTGCGCCGCGGGCGGGCCCCGGGTGTTGTCCAGGCACCCCGTGAGCCCGGGCCGGGACAGCTTCTCCCGCCGCCTGTGACTCTCCCGGGGCTCAGCTGGGGGCTCAGCGGAGCTCCATGCTCCCCCGGAGGCGGATGAAGGAGCCCGCATTCTTGTAGTTGGTTTTATTGATTTGTTGGGCTAACAGAACGTTTTTCCTTGGAGCAAAGTACAAATCCTTCGAGTTTGAAATTCATAACCCATGATCAATGCCTGTGGCAGCCTGTGGGGAGGAGGAGAGAAAGCCACAGGTGGCTGCCAGGCACCGGCTGAGGGAGAGGGAGGGCCCAGCGTTCTAACGTGTGTCCTGGAGATTCTGTGCCCCTGCCATGGCTGCTCTCCATCTTTAAAAAAAAAAATGTTTTTAACGCCCCCACTGGGTGTTCCTTGTGCCCGGTTCCTTGTCACCATTGCATAATTTGAAATTCATTACTGGATGACTCTGTCCTTCTTGGTCCAGGGCTGTTCTCAAGGACGCTTGGAATCTGGCAACCTGAAATTCTGTACTTAGCTTAGACTCAACCAGCGAGGCTAAGAAACCGCAGTGCACACAAAACAGGGCCTCCCCCCCCCCCCCCACCTCTTGGCCATTAAAAACTAAAGGCTTGTGCAAAGGCTGCTCTTTGTTTAAAGCTGTTGAGATTTTAGTGTGGGTGGGAGGAGAATTTTTCTCTTTAGGTAGGGTGGAAAGGAGATAGACAGGAAAGTTGGCTGGGTTTGCCTCAGTGCCGAGAGGACGGGAGGGAACCGGGGGACACACTAGCCGTCCTGGGCCTTCTCTTATTCAGGGTGCTGTAGGTGGCGTGGCTGGAGGTCTGGGTGAGCAGACCTCAGCTTTGTCCAAGGTTGGCATACATTCCCATACTCCTCATTAGTGGTATTTCTGTTATTTAAAAAAAAATGTTTTAGTTTATATGTACGTGTGTGTATGTGTGTGTGTGCGCGCGCGCGCGTGCGTGTGCGTGCGTGCGCACGCGCGCGGGCGAACAAGTGCAGGTACCCAGGGAAGCCAGAAGGGAGTCAGATAGCCCGGAACCCACAGGCAGTTGTGGGTCACCTGACATGCAGGAAGCCATCTTCCCAGTTCCTATGTCTGGTTTATGTTTACCTTTGTTTATTCCTAATGGCTTCTAAGACCTGGAGTTTCCCCGCTTTCAGTTGTTGTTGTTGTGTGTGTGTGTGTACATGCCAGGTCAGAGAACAACTTGTAGGAGTTGGGTCTCTCCCCGGAGCCTGTGGCCCCAGGGACTGAGCTCACATCCTCAGTCTTGGTGACCCCTTACTCACTGGGCCAGCTCACCGGCCCTGGACTTTGACTTTTAACCTGATCCTCTGAGAAGTTTGGGTTGTCCCAGGGGAAAAGGTGAGGACTCCTTGGTCTCCCTCTTGGGGCCTTGCACACACATTCCAGGGCTTCACCACTGGGCCGCAGCCCCCCCCCCCCAAGGCTCTGTCGGGTATAGGCCCTGAGTGCATTATAGGCGTGTAGGTAACCTCAAAAGGTGCGCATGTTGGTCGTCTCGCTCGGTTTCTGAATCCAGAGGGAGGCTGTGTTAGCCGTGGGGTCTGGTGGGGGACTTCTGACACCCATGTACCTGCAGGTCTCGCCTTCAAGATGTCTGTCAAACCTGAGAAGAAGAGAAAATTGGGTGGCCGGGGAGGCTCCCGGATAGGCCGGGCTGGCCGAGGTGCCCAGTCTGCCTCGGGCTCAGAGGCTGAGGAGGCTTCCCCGCTCTCTTTCCTGGAGCCAGAGCCTGAGATCATCAGGGAGGAGTTTGGTGAGTACGGGCTGGAGCCGAGATGGAGGGCTAGGGAAAACTAGAGAGAAGCCCTTTTTGAGGGTTTCATTTTGTTTTTCTTGAGACAGGCTCTCTCTGTGTAGCTCTGGGTGGTTTCAAACTGGCTAGGTAGACCAAGCAGGCCTGGGACTCCAAAGCGGTCTAGGTGCCTGCCTTTGCCTCTTGGGTCCTGGGATGAAAGGCGGGCCCCGCCACGCCCAACCCAAGAGTGTCTTGAGGCTGGGGAGCATGCCCGAGTAAGGAGGACCAGTGTGGCACTGTATTCGTAAGGTTCCGGGTAGAACCTGTGCCCTCCTCATTTTCTTCTCCTTTTTATATGTGCGCTGTCTTCTTCCTGGCCAGCCTGCTGTTTATTCTGCCTTAAAATTTCCCCTCAGTGTACCGATTCTTCTGTGGCCAATTCTTCCTGTGGCCTCTTCCTCATTTCACGTGTTCCTGGTTGTTCCCACCCCACAGTAGAGGGTTTGATCTCTTCCTTTTTCCTATTTTCACCCTGGGTGGCAAAACAAATAGTGTTTTTCTTCCATTAAGCCCATCACCATGGAGACCCAGCCTGCTTTGCCACCCTTTGAATCCTAAGCCCGCCTGATGCTTCTCCACCATCTGTTGAAAGCTCCTGTATTTTCTTCCTCCTCTTGGCAGAGACTGTGGATTGTGGAGGTTCAGGTTCAGGGTGACAGGAAAGAAGCCCACACGGAGGGAACAAAGAACTCAAGTGGGCCGCCTCCTGTGGGCTTCGTCCTGGAGTCGGCCGAGCTGGAGGGTTTGGGCTGCTGTCGGTTGCCTCCCCTTTCGCTCCCTGCTCAGTGGACGAGAGCCTGTGAGCCAGGTAGCCTCACCTTTAAATGGGCTCCTTGGTATTGCTAGCGTCCCGTAAGGATGAAGAGAAATAGAATACTCCCCTGTTGTTCGTTTTAGACATATACATAATAAGTATTATTATTATTATTATTATTATTAATTTTATTATATGCACGGGTGTTTTGCCTAAGCCCCACATACATGTCTGGTGGAGGCCAGGGTGTCGGAGCCCCTGCTGCTCCGGCATGAATTTTAACCCCCCATGTGGCCGCTGAAATCAAACCTAAGTTCTCTGGAAGACAGCCAGTGCTCTTAACCGCTGACCGTTCCCTCCAGCCCCGACTTACTTAGTTATTTACGTATGTATTCAGTGTATGTATTCAGTGTGTGTGCACATGTGTGCCTGCTCACAGCAGGGTGCATATATGGAGGCCGGAGGACAGCTTGTGGGAGTTGATTCTTTCCTTGCACAACTCGGGTTCCCGGGCTCCAGCTCAGGTTTGGAGCTAAGTGCCCTTCCCTGATGACCCATCTCCACACCCACATTTTCTCCTTGGTGTTGAGGGTTGAATCCCAGGCCTCAGGCAAATGTTCTGCCACTGAGCTATTTCCCCGGCTAGAATCCCCCTGTATTGGAAATAGGTTTAGGGCTGTGGGCACGCTAGCTACACACACACAAACACACGCGCACACAAATGGGGTTTTCTTATATATTCTAGGAGCACCTTGAACTCCCAAACTCTGAGACTATAGACCCTCAGCCACCATTCCCGGATCATTACTAATATTAATGTTAGTGGTGAAGAGATTGAGGGCAGGTTTAGGGGGAAGGCCCTTCCTTGAGCCTACACTGGGGTCTAGCACTGTAGAAATGTGCAGCATTATTGTCTGTGAGCGCTCGTGCGCTCAGTTAAAAGCAGTTCAAAATTGACTGTCTCCAAGAAGCCCACTACCAGGAGAAATTATGGGAAGCAGCAGGGGAGGTTTGGTTTGGAGAATCTTTTGAGAAACAAAGAAAAGTACTTTAAAATGGATGCATCAGCCTTCAGATACCACAGAAAACCTTTCTCTCTCTCTCTCTTTCTTTTCTTTTCTTTTTTTTTTTTTGATACAGAGTTTCTCTGTATAGATCTGACTGTCTTTGAACCCACTCTGTAGACCATGCTGGCCTCAAACTCACAGAGGTCTGCCTGCCTCTGCCTCCTGAGTGCTGGGATTAAAGGTGGTCGCCACCACCTGGCTTTTTTGTTTTGTTTTTTTACTTCTTTTCTTTCTGTCTTTTAATTCAGAACAGGGTCTCTCTGTGTAGTCCTGCCTGTCCTGCTATGTAGACCAGGCTGCCTGTCCTGCTATGTAGACCAGGCTGGCCTTAAACTCAGAGGGACCTTCCTGCTGAGATTAAAGGTATGGACCATCATGCCTGGCCCTAAAAAGCTCTTACCTGTTAAAAATTTTGTTTATTTTTAAAGGGTTTTAGTGTGTGTGTGTGTGTGTGTGTGTGTGTGTGTGTGTGTGTGTGTAAATTTGTGCACATAAGGCAGTGTCAGAGGCAGCCAGAAGAGGGGGCTGTATTCTCTGGAGCTGGAGTTACAGGCAGGTGTAAGGTTTGAAGGGTGTGAACATGGTCCTCTGCAAACAGGAATGTGGGCCCCGAGGCTGACAACACGGGGCGACTTCCTCAGTCCCTCTCACGTTTGTTTTGTTCGGGTAAGATCCTTTACTGACCCTGGAGCTTGCTGATTGGTTACGATGGCTGCCAAGCCCTGGGGCCCCATTCCTGCTTTCCCAGCAGTGGGGTTATAGCTGTGTTCGCCCAGCTTTACACAGCAGTGCTGGGGGTCCAAACTGAGGTTTGCACAGCAAACGCCTTACGGAATGACCGGTCTCCCGGCCTGCAGGCGGCCTTTTCCCACTTCTCTGGGGCTGGAGAGACGGCCCAGCCGGTTAGAGCTTGAACTGCCCCTGAAGAGAACCAGGGTTCAGTTCCTTGCACTTAGGTCAGGTGGCTCCCAGCTGCCCGTCACTCTGGCTCCAGGGGCTCAGACTCTCCTGGACTCTAGGGGTGCCTACCCGCAGCCATACACATGCATCCATAATTAAGACATAATAAAAATAAATCTTAAAGAATCAGTATCCTGGGGGCTGGAAAGGTGTCTCAGCAGCTAAGAGCACGGGCCGCTCTTCCAGAAGACCTGGGTTTGATTCCCAGCACCCACAAGGTGGCTCACAACTGTCTGTGACTCCAGTTCGAGGGGATCTGACTCCCTCTTCTGACCTCCATGGGCACCAAGTACACATGTGGAACACAGACATACATGCAGGCAAAACTCACACATAAAATATTAATAAAAATAAAAGTTTAAAACTTAAATTTTCCTTTTCAAACCAGGCAGGGTTGCACACGCCTGTAATCCCAGCACTCTGCAGGCAGAGTGGATCTCTGTGAGGCCAGCCTGGTCTACAAAGTGAGTCCAGGACAGCCAGGGCGACACAGAGAAACCTTGTCTCACCAGGCAGTGGTGGCACACACCTTTAATCACAACACTTGGGAGGCAGAGGCAGGTGGATTGCTGTGAGTTCAAGGCCAGCCTGGTCTACATAGTGAGTTCTAGGACAGCCAGGACTACACAGAGAAACCCTGTCTTGAAAAAGCAAACCAAAACAACAACAAAAAACACTTCTCTAAAAAACAAAACAAAACAATTTTTTTTTTCTTTTTCATGTACTGGGAGTTGAACCCTGGGCTTTGAACTCTGAGCCCTCATGCTGTTTTCCTTAAGTTTCCTTCAGTTACCATTAAAAGAAAAGTTGTAATCAGGCACACCGTTCCTTCTCTGTATTTCTTAGACTCTCCCACAGGCGGCAGGAAGATGGTTTGGAGGTTACAGGTACCTGCCTCCAAGCCTGGTGACCTGAATGCCACCCCTGGGACCCTCGGGGTGGCAGGACAGACCCGACTCCCACAAGCTGCTCTCTGACGGCCCCGCGCACAGCAAGGCACCTGTATGTCTGCTCCCACCCCTCCCTCCATAGCCATGTATTTTAAAGCCCTGAGGCTTCCAACTCGCAGGCTCCCGGACTCTGAGGTCTGGTATCCTAGCTTACTGGGTGGTGAAGTCTAACCTGGCACCAAGGTGTTTATGACTTGGCTAGATCTGGTTATACCAGGGTAAGTACTGGTATATTTTACCTCAGGAATACAGTAAGAAAAGTTTGCTTGTTAAATGCGGCTCTAGAGCTCTCTGGAAAGGTATCAGGGACTTCAAGCCCAACAACGTTACGTTAGGTTGCTTTGTTGTAGCCAGGTTCACCTGTGGCTTAGGGTTCCTGTTGCTGCCACAGAACACCGTGCCCAGAAGCAAGTCGGAGAGGAAGGGGTTTATTCCACATACATTTCCACAGCTTGTTCATCACTGGAGGAAGTCCGGACAGAAACCCACACAGGGCAGGACCCTGGGGGCAGGAGCCATTGCAGAGGCTGCGGAGGGTGCTGCTCACTGGCTTGCCCTCCACGGCTTGCTCAGCCTGCTTTCTTACAGACCCCAGGACCCTCAGCCCGGGGGAGGCACCACCCACCATGGGCTGAGCCCTCTCCCACTGATCACTAATTGAGAAAATGCCCTACAGCTGGATCTCGTCAACGGAAACGCCTTCTCTCTGGTGACTCTAGCTGGAGTAAAGCTGACACACAACGCCAGCCAGTTCAGCCTTCATCCTGCGAGTCCCCGCTCCACCTTCTGAGTGTTGGGATTACAGGCATGTGCCAACTGGAAATTGAACCCAGAGCTTCACGCATGCTAGGCAACAGCCGCCAACTTAGCTGGGTCCCCAGCCCCTACGCTGCATACTCCACCACGTTTTCAGTCTTATTCTGTCCTGTCCCAGAGCTGGCACTCAGGGTCTTGCTCCTGCAAACACAGGCTCTCCCTCTGACCTACGCCGCAAACTCCGTATAGTTCTAACTTTAGAGTATTTCTGACACCAAGGATTGCAGATAAGGGATCATAGATGCGTTTCAGGCAGGACAGAAAACCAAGCCAGTGTCCTAAGTCATGAAGGCAGCACATCCTTTCTCCTCAGCCCTGGGCTCTCCTCCTCCTCCTCCTCCTCCTCCTCCTCCTCCTCCTCCTCCTCCTCCTCCTCCTCCTCCTCCTC